CATCCATAGCCAGTCACAAGGTCGCCTAACAAGGGCACTACGACTGCCTGATGACTGTCTTTGTTGTACCAACTCACTCATTCAATTACTGTCCTCCCATTCTCCCTGGCTATTATACCCTGTGTGCTGCTGCTGCTGTTGTTGCTATAACCATACCCCGCCGGGATTGACCGGGTCATAGAGTCTCAAACTACCCTCGCGCTGATATTATTGCAGTTCATGTTGCTGTTATCCCCTTACCCCTTCACACCCTTGACTCACCCCGCTTGCCCTCCCCTTACCCCTTCACCCCTCCACCCTTGACTCACCCCGCTTGCCCTACTGCTGCTACCTCATCAACACAAGATTTGTCTTCCTGTTACTATTGCTGTTGTTGAAGCTGCTGCTGTTATTTTTAAAACTGTTGGTGCTGCTTTTGCTGTTATTTGCGCTGCTGCTGTTGATGCCGCTGGCCATCCAGACTAGCACTCAGGGTTGAAGGAAATTACTTCATAAGAAAGATTACGAGAGCTAGTTTCTAAAAGATGAATGGTTTTGCTCACTACTTATAAAATAGTTTAGTTTGATAGTTGTATTATGGACCGCGATAAGTAGGTGGTAGTGAAAACATTACAGTGGCACATAATGGGTCCAGAGACTGGCCCCTGGCGTATGTTAGTGTTCATGAACTATTTATTAATTTATTTACATGTGAACAATGGTAACGAGATTAAACTATCGTGAATTTAATCGCGGAGAGAGTGCACTTAATATGTTCTTGCGAGTTATTTTTTATATTAAATCATATTTAGCAATATATGGTTAAATTACAGCAAGTTAGAGTGGTTGAGTTATTTGCAATAGGCAAAGTACTCCACGGCTGCGACAGGGTAGATGAGTATAGGCATTTTACCAGAGAAGGAACTAGACCAAGATGTCATGGATGAAAAGCAAACTCGGGGATAGCTGGAAACATTTCTTCAACTTCAGTGGCCAAGCAGTGAAATGACCTGGATAATTAACGCTGAAAGCCGATTCTACGCAGGGGATAAAATGAAGATGCTGTACAGTGTAGTGTGACAGCTACTTATGACATTGATTGTCTACCAGTGTTTTATCAGTTGATGAAGTTCCTGCTGGACGGAACGTCTTCGCAATAAAATACCATAACTGGTATTTTGTGTCTTACATAATGTTGGTATAATGTACTACTGTATTGCAATCTACTGACACCACAGCCTTATTGAACATTCAGTTAAAAAAAATACTACAGGCTCGTGTATTCTATTACAAGCTGATGAATAAACTCTCTTAAGAGGCTCCTTGATGCCAGTGAAGGGCTCGTAATCCAAGGAATTCAACTTGTTCCCGTCCTTGGATCGGACCTCATTGCCCCGATTACCCAATCGCTGTATGACCCCCTGTGGGTTTAGCACTTTCTAATAAATGTAATGTCAGTTTACAACTTTATACTGGTCTAATTATTTACTTAATAATGGCCCAGTAGAGACCATCACGTCGTGTATAGTTTGCCTACCTGGCTCTGCCGGCCTGCGGAGACACTAATACTAGTGTTGAGGTATCCGCTCAAATGGAAAACAGTAGCAATAATAATAATAATAATAATAATAATAATAATAATAATAATAATAATAATAATAATAATTCATAGGTGAGAGAAGAATTTGATGAAGAGTAACTGCTGAATATTGTATAATATATAGACCATAAAAAATATATGTAAAAACCAGCATGTTACAATTCTACCATCCATTACAACCAGAGTTGATGACAGGCTGGTGACATAGGCTGGAATGGTAACAAAGTATCATACAAATTCCTCAACATGATGAATGTATTTGTTATGCATCAACACATTAAAGAAGCAACTCTGGTCAGATTAGCGCTTGTTTTCAAATATAACAACTCTGACCAGAGAGCGATGTACGACCCCTGCTGGTTTGCGCTTGTTTTAGAAAATAAAAATTATGTGGTGAGAGGATGAGTAACTCACATGCAACAGTTTGGTATCTATTGGCGAAACATTTCGGCCGCTCACCAGGCTTCTAAACTCCAGAGAAGACAACACAAGATGTAGATATGAGGTGGCGAGTCCCTCAGTTTTGGCGTGTGTTCAGCTCGTGGCAATTAAGATATCGAACGTGTGTTTTACTCATCTACTTGTCGGTATTGTATATCATTAATATAAAATCTTGAGAGATGGAAACATACCGTCAGTACTGAAGTTGGTATATGCTTGAAATTCTCAATTAAGGGACAAGGGCTCTTGACCCAGGGAACTGGAGCTGTCCCTATCATGGTTTGAAGCTTATTACCTCGCATTCCCCAAGTACATACTGGAAAACCCTTACCGCACCTAAGGGGAAGGGGTCTCTGATGTTGGTGAGGAGCTCTTGATCCAAGGATTTGAACTTATCCATCCATTCCTTGGATTGAACCTGTTTGCCTCTCATTCCTCAGGCACTGTATGGCCCCAACAGGTTTAGGTCTCCGCATGAATATAATAATCTATTGTAGAGTTCAGTCCCCATTGTCTGCTCGAGTTTATATTTTTTTTATCGCCTCTAATATTTCATGTATGATTATGATATATGTGTGATATATAATATGTGGTATATGTATGATATATATATGTGTATGATATGTGTATGTGTACTCACCTAGTTGTACTCACCTAGTTGAGGTTGCGGGGGTCGAGTCCGAGCTCCTGGCCCCGCCTCTTCACTGATCGCTACTAGGTCACTCTCCCTGAACCGTGAGCTTTATCATACCTCTGCTTAAAGCTATTTATGGATCCTGCCTCCACTACATCGCTTCCCAAACTATTCCACTTACTGACTACTCTGTGGCTGAAGAAATACTTCCTAACATCCCTGTGATTCATCTGTGTCTTCAACTTCCAACTGTGTCCCCTTGTTACTGTGTCCAATCTCTGGAACATCCTGTCTTTGTCCACCTTGTCAATTCCTCTCAGTATTTTGTATGTCGTTATCATGTCCCCCCTATCTCTCCTGTCCTCCAGTGTCGTCAGGTTGATTTCCCTTAACCTCTCCTCGTAGGACATACCTCTTAGCTCTGGGACTAGTCTTGTTGCAAACCTTTGCACTTTCTCTAGTTTCTTTACGTGCTTGGCTAGGTGTGGGTTCCAAACTGGTGCCGCATGCTCCAATATGGGCCTAACGTACACGGTGTACAGGGTGAACGATTCCTTATTAAGATGTCGGAATGCTGTTCTGAGGTTTGCTAGGCGCCCATATGCTGCAGCAGTTATTTGGTTGATGTGCGCTTCAGATGTGCCTGGTGTTATACTGTGTGTGTGTGTGTGTGTGTGTACTCACCTATTTGTGGTTGCAGGGGTCGAGTCACAGCTCCTGTGTGTGTGTGTGTGTGGTGTGTGTGTGTGTGTGTGTGTGTGTGTGTGTGTGTGTGTGTGGTGTTGTGTGTGTGTGTGTATGTGTGTGTGTGTGTGCAAAGAGTTTACTTTAATCGCTATAATGCAGAGAGTTTACTTTAATCCCTACAATGCAGAGTTTACTTTAATCCCTATAATGCAGAGAATTTACTTTAATCCCTATAATGCAGAGAGTTTACTTTAATCCCTATAATGCAGAGAATTTACTTTAATCCCTATAATGCAGAGAGTTTACTTTAATCCCTATAATGCAGAGAGTTTACTTTAATCCCTATAATGCAGAGAGTTTACTTTAATCCCTATAATGCAGAGAGTTTACTTTAATCCCTATAATGCAGAGAGTTTACTTTAATCCCTATAATGCAGAGAGTTTACTTTAATCCCTATAATGCAGAGAGTTTACTTTAATCCCTATAATGCAGAGAGTTTACTTTAATCCCTACAATGCAGAGTTTACTTTAATCCTTATAATGCAGAGAATTTACTTTAATTCCTGTATTATGTTTTAAAATATTAGTGACGTTAGTGTGAAGGTGAATATCAGTCTTAATGATCCTCATGCACCGATAGTCTTTCAACTTGATAAAAGAAATAACCCAGCAGTGGCTGTGGTAAACAAGAGTACGCCAACCAGCTTCCCGCCAGGGAGGCTGTGGGCTTTACAACTAGTATTGATAGTCTTTTATTCCGCAACACTACGCTTTTTTTTTATATATTCTGGTTAGTCTTATGGCGTGGGTGATTGATTTATTAGTTACACACGAAAATCTTTGAGCCACAGTTCAGTGTATCTATGACTCAAAGGACATAACAATAATGAGCTGTTTACGGGTTCAGGACTGTTAAGTAAATGAGTTTATTTAGGCACAGGTACACCTAAGTACAAGTATCATACACACTGTAAATTACCAAGGGTAACCCTAAAAAGTCAGTGACTTATTTCCATTTCTAGTTGCAGTGCAAAGAGGGCGAATGTAAGTCCTAACATCCCCCAATGAAAAGCAGGAGTGTCACTAGCACGTTAAGAGACAACACAATAAGTGCCAGGGGCCTGAGACTGTTCAACTGCCTCCCAGCATACATAAGGGGGATTACCAATAGACCCCTGGCTGTCTTCAAGCTGGCACTGGACAAGCACCTAAAGTCGGTACCTGACCAGTGGGGCTGTGGCTCGTACGTTGGTTTGCGTGCAGCCAGCAGTAACAGCCTGGTTGATCAGGCTCTGATCCACCAGGAGGCCTGGTCACAGACCAGGCCGCGGGGGCGTTGACCCCCGGAACTCTCTCCAGGTAAACTCCTGGTAATCAAAGGGAAAGAAAATCAAGGCGGTTATTAGCTAAGTTATTTAGACCTTTATGATCAGGATGCGACAAACTCTTGAATACTTGTTAACAATAATCTAAAGCAGAATCATCTGTATAGGTGTTGTAACGAAATAACTAACCTGCATCTGAAGCCAAGGCAATAGTGCACTTATTGTAGCAAGTTACAGTGGACCCTCGACATTCGATACTAATCTGTTCCTGAGAGCTTTCGAATGTCGAAAATATCGAAAGTCGAATTAATTTTCCCCATAAATAATGGAAATCAAATTAATCTGTGCAAGACACCCAAAAGTATGAAAAAAAAAAATTTACCACATGAAATATAAAGTTTAATGCAATAGAATAATCACAATAACAACAATAACAATAGAATAATAACAATAGAATAATTGACACTTACCTTTAATGAAGATCTGGTGATGATTGATGGGATGGGAGGGGGGGAAGGAGGTCGAAGTTGTTATTGTTTAGAAGGGGAATCCCCTTCCATTAGGACTTGAGGTAGCAAGTCCTTTTCCGGGGTTACTTCCCTTCTTCTTTTAATGCCACTAGGACCAGCTTGAGAGTCACTGGACCTCTGTTGCCATTCCTTTAAGATTTGTCTAAAATGGGCCATAACATTGTCATTGTAATAGTCACCAGCACGGCTTGCAATAGATGTGTTAGGGTGATTTTCATCCATAAAGGTTTGCAGTTCAACCCACATTGCACACATTTCCTTAATTTTTGAAGTGGGCACAATGGAGTCCACAACTGGCATAGGCTTCTCAGGGTTAGTCCCAAACCCTTCAAAATCTTTCTTAATTTCCATACTAATTCTCATCCTTTTTACCACAGGGTTGGCACTAGAAGCGTTCTTGGAGCCCATGGTGACTTATTTTGCAGAAACAAGCACCAAAAACAGTGATAATATGGATAATATGGAATGTACCGAATGTATCCTTAGATGCGCGCATACTAGCTGGCTTGTAAACACTGGCACACACGGGGCAGTTCAGGCCACAAGTGGACACGTCTCGTACGAATCGTATTGAATGTCCGGTTTTCCATCAAATGTCGAGGCGAAATTTTTGCGTTAAAATGCATCGAATGTCAGATTTATCGAATGTCGATGCCATCGAATGTCAGGGGTCCACTGCAGTTGTTTTGCATTATATAAAGGTAACATACCTGTGACCAGTTTCGAGGGCTCTTCTGTCCCTGCTCCTCTCAGGGTAAGATCCCTCTTCTCCTGAACCCTTCAAGGTAGGCTCCATCCTCCCCTGTACCCTTCAGTATTGTTTTTTTCTCTGCCTGCACCTCTCAAGGTAGGTTTTTTCTTTCCCTGCACTGCTAAAGGTACAGGTTTGATTTGCAATAGCATATAGCATCTTGAATGTGATGCCTTCTACTGTATCTGTTTTGTTTGCATGTATTTTTTAAAACTTAGATAATTTTGTTGTCTCACTGATTTCACTGTGAGTTCTTTGTATGTATTTTTGTTTCTAGTTTTAATACATAATTTCCTTGTACAACAACATCTTTCCTGGGTCAGTACATGGAGTTTGAAGGCTTTATTTAAACCCCTGGCACTATCAATTTTAATATTTTTTATACTGAAAGTATACTCAGGATCTTTGTACATTATTTCACAAATGACAGTGCAACTATTCACGCAATATTATTGTCACTTTTTTATAGCTGCTTCACAAGAATGTCTGATACTAATGATCTAAGAACACTGGGCCTTTATCTTTGTGTCATCAGCTCAGCTGAGAAAGTGAGTATATAAGTAACAATTTCTAGGTTAAATGTACAGTATTGTACTCTTTCCTCGGTGAGACCTTATTTAGATTACATTACACAGCTCTGGTCGGGATATTACAGAATGAATATAAATGCACTGAAAACATGCAAAGAAGAATGACAAATGTAATCCTCTGTTTCTGGAATCTTTCCTGGAGTATATCAGGAGAGCGTTTCGGGGGTCAACGCCTCGCGGCCTGGTCTGAGATCAGGCCTTGTGGTGGATCAGGGTCTGATCAACCTGGCTGTTACTGCTGGCCACATGCAAACTGACATACGAACCACAGCCCGAGCTGGTCAGGTACTGACTTTAGGTGCCTGTCCAGGCACCCATAAAGATAGAATATAAGCACTTAGCTTAAACTCTATAGAAAGATAAAGATTAAGGTTGGGGATATGATTGAAGTGTATGAACGGAATAAATATACGATATATTTAAAAGGTATGAAAATTTATAAATTAAGACAGAACTTGAAAAAAATGAATTCACATTGAACAAATTCACATTTAGAAAGAAAATAGAAAAACTATTTTGGCAATATGGTATAGTTATTGTGTCCCTTCCATGGGGGTATCTTGATGCTGGTGAAAGTTCTTGATTGATTGAAAGAATTGGAGCTACCCTTCTCTGGATCAAACCTGATTGCCTAACATTTCCCACCTGCTGTATGCCCCTCATGAGTTTAGCATTTTCCTCCATTTCTACTTTGTTCTCATTACTTTGAACCATTTATAAAGTCAGCCCATCCATCTCTCTCACTCTCGTAAATTCTGTGACTTGGTCATGTAAATTTTGAAACTTGGATTTTCAGTGACTTTGGCTTTCTTCTTACTCAAGTAAGTTTCTATTAATGGTTCCATGAATATACTGTACCATACTAGATAATTCATGGATTTTTACGAGTCACTGGTGAGTAAGTATGTATCGCTTGTGTCAGTGTAGCCAGGGCACTAGTTTAAATGTACACAATGTGTGTGTTCAAGTTTATCTTGTTCAGGTTTCTTATGGATATTAGATATTAGTTTACTTTTCCTGACGTTTCATAGATAAATCTTTTTTTTTTCAGTCATGTTTAGCTTGCAATGGACGATGATGGCCAGAAACAGAGACTGCTTGACGTAATAGGGTAAGTTTTCTCAACTGTAATGTGAGAGTATTACTGCTAAATAACATTTATAAGTCAATAGCCATAATTGAACAATTTATATATGTATTTTTTAGTGTATTTATATTTTAAAGTGTTAATTGCAGTTTTCTGAAAATTTTCCATACTTTTTAATCTGAAATGGGATATGGTGTGAAAGTGCTTAAGACCTCAGTAAGTAGAGATAATTAGCTAAGCAGGAGAACATAGGTTGTGTAGCTGGAAGCTTATCTTCTCTTGAGTTGCACTTGTATTAGAATACTGTACCTCTGATAAGACATGTAAGCTTGTTTTGTTGCTTTCATTCGAAATAATTATTTTTATTGTATTACTAATCTTGTTAATTTTTTCTTACAGAGATCCCCATTTACTAGAAACTTTCTTAGAAAATTTTCCCAGCTCGGTAAGTTGCCTTGCTTTTTGGTTTATATTTTTACTGTATAAACTTGTGATTTTCTTTTGTATCTTTTGAATCTATTATAAGTGAAAGTCATTCCTTTTTATTACTACTCATTTCACAACTTATGGCAAAGGATCCTAACTTGTGGTCTGTGGAGTCCAAATGATTCAGATTATCAGTGATCTGTAGAAAAATATCTTATGTTAAAACAGTTAATATCCTGTGTTAATACAGTAATAAGTTTTCATGTGGTATCATCAGTTACATTCAAGTGGAAACTATATACATTACAGAAAGTTGAATTAAGAGGATTCAGCATAGGATAACCCAACAAAATCATGCGCTGTGAATGTTACCCTAAATTTTGTATGTTGATTCATGATGGACTTGACATTAGTGGAGAGGGTTGCTGTAGCCCTACTAGGCTAAGGTGGATGGTAGAGGATCTTGGTCTTAAGTGGATGGCTGGAGTTCAGTGGGCTTAGGTGGATGGCTGAAGTTGATGCAGAGCTGTAATTTACCGGAATCCTCGGGGTTTGGTGTAGTCTGTTGTACCCTGCAGTATTTCATGCAGCTGACAATAAGGCATCATTGTTTGGTTCAGAAGCAATTTCAGTGCAGTGTCTGTACATGTGCCAGGGTACTCTTTGGTGAAAAAATTTACAACTTTAGCAACATCACGATACTGTCCATGTAACTGTTGCTACATTATTGGTTGAACTGCAGGTTGTTCTTCATCTTTTATTGTCTTACTCTCTTCTATCTGGGAATTGAACACCATCAACAATTCACATGGATATGTTTCTTTATCATTTTTAGGCAAAGTGAGCACAGGGCTTTTTGGAGCAATGAATAAGCATGAGCCTACACTTAAATTCACCAGCTGTGTTAGCTCACGGAAGCAAGCTTGAAACAATCTTCCAGCATCTTGAATCTGTGTGCACTTTTCTCCTGTTTGCTGTTTTACTGTATGGTCTTTAGAAGGCATCTTGTAGAAAAAATTTGTTTAATTAGCACTAGCTCAGATGTATAGCCACCCTCAGAAATAATTGAGGAAAATTCCTTAACCATGTGATCAACACAGGCACTCTCACAATTGAACAAAATTTATATTATGTGACCATTTGTATTATAATATAACAGGGCTTTCACTTTGATTAAAAACATAACCAGATGGGACACTTTCCTTTGTTTTCTGTTGAATCCACTCATTCAGCATTTTTCTAGCTTTATTTAGCTGTAATGATCTCGTCCATTTTTTCAGCAAGTCACATTTGCACCACCTTTGAGCATTTCAGTTTCCTCAATTTTCTTCACTAAAGGCATAGTTTCATGCTTGAATGTCTTGGCATCTTCAGGATCACCACTGTTTTGTTTTGATACCATGATTAACATCCAGACATGAGACAGGGTGATGACAATATTGGAAATAGAATGACAGTGTTAGGAGTGAATAATGATATGGTACGTATCCATGAGGCAACCGGTGGGGGCTTAGGTGGGAGGAGGGGGGTCAGATGTAAATACCACAGAGTTTTGCTAGGTCTAGTGAAAAAAGAAAGGAGGCCCGAGGCTCATGGGAGGGGAAATCTCCCACCTGTTTAAGTGTGAAAGGTGGTGAGACTTATTCTGAAAGCTGAGGGCAGGTCACAAAATTTGATTTATGATGTGATGAAATCGCAGTATGTGGGAGTGGGAAAGGCAAGGATTTACTGTATATATTTGCCTTATGTGATAAATGGTTTGCAGAATGTGTTGTTGAAGATTCTTATTTGGTAGTAAGTGTTGATGTCTTGATTGAGCTTCCATTGGCCTGGAATGTACCTACTTCATAAAGCAAAGAACTCTTACAAACACCCTGTCCTCCTAAGTCACATTGTTGGTTTTGTACCATGTTACCCTTTCAGATTCTACATACATGTATTCGATTTTAGGATAGGATAGATAAACATCAGTTAGTTAAATTTAATCTGTTACAACTACAATAAATACAGCAATGCTTTAAAATGATACTGTTTTGATGAAAGTACATAAAGTAGTAACCAGTGAGAAGACATTTTCCACATTTTTAACCCTTATTAAAAAAACTGATGTTTCTTAGCAGAAGAAGCAGATGGTAACTGAAGTATTTACTGTATGTGCAAGACTTAGCTTAGCATTCTACAAAGACTGCAGGAATACCTTCTTCAATACAAGTAAAAATATAGAGTGATATCACTTAAATGTATACAGGGTACCATGTACACTACTGTATATATATTTTTGGTTGAGTTCAAGGATTTTCCCTGTATTTATAATTTTTCATACATATTTAATATTTTATTGCCTTATTTCACTTTAAAAAAATCCTAGTTATAGTTGTTTAGTATTCATAAAAAAAATCCTAGTTAGAGTTGTTTAGTATTCATTACCCAGTTAAATTATAAAATTTAGTGCAGTTTTCTCCCTAATTTTAAGTCCCATTTTTTAATCAAGGTCTGAGACAATGCAGATAATAATAAACTGTTGATAGTTTGCAGCTAACATAATTTTGTATTCTCCATAATATTGTGTGCTAAAAAACTTTTTTTTTTGTTTTGGACTCAAAATGTATCTTGAAACTTCCTTACATTTTTATTTGAATTTGTCAGTGTGTTTATTTTATTTTTAATGAACATGGTTTTCAACTGGATCTGTAAGAAATAAGTAATCCATGGCACTTTATTACTGACTGATGTTGATGTTGTATTTTGATTTAATTAATCTTACTGAATACTTTCTGTTTGGCGGCAGAGTTTTCCCACTGATGGTGGTCTCCTCTGGCAGGGCTTAGACTCACCTCGCTTCGACAATGTGACATCCTCCACGGACTCCGGGCTGGTTAGCAGTTGCCTGGACAACCATGTTTTCGATGGCCAGTTCCTTGGTCAAGTGCGAGGGGGAAGTCATCCCCTCAACCATTCACAGGTGCCAACTCATTTGTTGCAGCAGGTCTTACCCTCACCTACACTTCCTACTGGGCCACAAGGGGCACCACACCAGCAACATCACCAACCACAACAGCAGCAGCCACAACAGCAAGAGCAACAACAGCATCAGCAGCAACAACAACCTCAACAGCAGCAGCAGCAACAGCAACAGCAGCAGCAGCAGCAGCAACAGCAGCAACAGCAGCAACAGCAGCAGCAACAGCAGCAGCAACAGCAGCAGCAGCAGCAGCAGCAACAGCAACAGCAGCAGCAGCAGCAGCAGCAGCAACAACAGCAGCAGCAGCAGCAGCAGCAGCAGCAGCAGCAGCAGCATCATCATCATCAACAACAACAACATTCTCATCAACAGCAAAATGTAGCCCTTCAAACATCTGGGGCTCCACTTGTAGTTGGAGCCCCAAACAGTAGTGGGGGAGAAGGAAGCAGGGAGAATGATCATCCAACTCTACAACAGCTACTAGCATTTTCATCCCAACAAGCACCACAGCCACAACCTCAGCAACAGCTTCAGCAGAATGCTGGAAATGTAGGACATGGTTTACCCACAGCAATACTCACTGCTAATTCATCTCGTCATCCCTCCATTCAACAAACACCACAGTCACAACAGCAGCTCTCAGTACAGCCCTCTCCTCGCACTGTTTCTGTCAGGCCGCAGCCATCACCAGCAACTAAAGGCAGTCAAAGTGTTCTTCAGAGCACTCCTCAACCTACTCCTCAGGTCATATCTCAAACTTCAGCCCAAACCCCTCCACAAATTATGCAAGGTGGTGTTCAGCTCGTAGGGGGATCCAACCAAGTTATAACATCAGGAGGACAAATCTTAACTTCAGCATCACCTCAGCTTATTCAAGGTACTCAACTTCTGCAGACACATGGATCCACGCAAGTCTTGCCTACTGGTCAGTTGTTATCTGGTGGACAAGTATTGCATAATGGGCAGGTCATACAGGGAGGTCAGGTGTTTCATGGGCCCCACCTGTTGCCTGGAGGGCAGTTATTACAAGGTGGACAAGTTATACAAGGTAGCCAAGTGCTTCAGGGTGGACAGCTCATCCAGAGTGGTCAGGTGATCAATAGTAGTCAGTTGATCACCACTACCACACAGATGGCAACCAGTGGTGTATCAGGATTAGGTGCAGCTTCTGCACCATTATATGTCACACCAAGCACACCAGCAGTTCAACAGCAGCAGCAGCAACAACAGACCCATGCAGTCACATTACATCAAGCAGTTCAACCTCCAACTCCTACTGCTTCTCCATTTTCTGTAGTAAGTAAATCTCCTGGAGCAGCATTGCCCCGTACATCACCGAGCCCCTCCCCATATCATCCAACTACACCATCACCTCACCCAGCAGTACCAAGTCCTGCATCTTATACAACACGTTCTCCAGCACCTTCTCCTCATAGCAATGTTAGTGCAATGCGGTCCCCTGCTCCACCTACTCCCTCTCCTGCTGCAACACCAACACCACAGACACACAGTAATATTACTGCAATACCCCAGCAACAACCAGCTGGAATGGTGCAAGGTGTTATGGGAAATGTAGGGATGGTGCAGAGCCTGGTGCCTCAGTTACCATTGTCTCAAGTTGTTGGATCAAATGGCATGGTGCTGCCTCAACCAGGAGTTCAACAAGCTACAGCTGGTGTAAAGCAAGTTGTTTCTGGAGGCCAGTTGATTCAAATTGTGTCTTCACCTCAACCAACTCAACCAAGGCAACCTCTGGCAACACCTGCACACAAGCCTATTCAGCCAAAGCAGCCTCAGTTGCTGCCTAAGCCTCCCCAAGCAGCTGTTGTTGGTCAGCCTGCTCCACCACCACCAGGAAAGACTGTCATGGGTGCACGTCCTGTAACACCAGGGGGGCAGCAACCTATTGTAATAGGAGCAGCAGGACAGCAGCCAACAATGATGACTGGTCAGCAGGGTCTTGGAGGATTTGTTATTAATCCCTCATTACTGCAGTCAAGTCTTCAACAGCCCATCCTTATTCAGCAGCCAAATGGTGTACTTCTAGTAAGACCATCAGGGCCATCTGGAGCAGGGGGAGCACCTGGTCAGACTCTGTTGGTCCCTATGCATGGCCAACACCATATGATGAGTGCAGGGACGAAAACTGGCCAGCACCAGACCGTAGTTTTCCCAGGCAATGGTCAGGGAGGGCCAGCTTATGTCATCCCACCAAATGGATCATCAGGTTTAGGTGCTCCAGGGATGATGGGTGCAGCACAAGGTTCACGTGGGCCACAACCCATCATTCGGTTAGTTGCACCACAAGCTCCATTGCAGTTACAACAAATCCAGACTCCTAATGGACCCACTTTAGTAGCTGTACCAGCAGGTCAGACTGTAAATCTGCAGGGCTTATTAGCAGCTGGAGGTGCTACAATGCGCACTTTAGCCCCACAGGTAGCTTCAGGCCCCTTGCAACTTGCTCCCTCATCAGTAGCTCCTAATATGGCTCCTGTGGTGAGCATGGGTCACATACAAATGTCAGGAGGTGGGCAGCAGCTCCATGTGTCTGTCCCAGGGGCACCCCTTCAGCTGGCCTCCTCCCTTCCTTCCTCCCTCCCATCTGTGATAACCACCACTAAGCAAACTGTGATAGATGAAAGTGTGGCTCCTGCCTCCATTGTGACAGCTACTGAGGCTGGACCACATCACCAGACTATAACAGAATCTAATAAAAATACAAAGAAAAAATCTAAAAAGAAAAAAAAGGAAAAGGAACCAAAAGATGAAAAAATAAAAGGCAAAGGAACTTCAATAAATTTAAATGATATTTTGAAAGAAACTGGAATTGTGGGTGATTTGATGCTTTTTGATGACAATGAACTTGGCTTAGGAGGGGAGGGAATGGAAGGGGTGCAAGCTCCTGCACCTCCAGCACAGGTAAATCCAGTGTCGGCAATGGTAACATCAGCACCTGTAGTAGCCCCAGTACCATCGTTACCTGCCCCTGACAATACTAGTTTTACAGCAACGAGTGAAAACACTGGCCATATTGTAGTTGGTTCTTCACAGCAGCATACGCTAGTGGGAATGAGTGGTTCTCTTGTGACGGGAACAGTGGTAACAAGTTCTCCTCCAGCTGGGATAATGACTAATGCCAGTATGCACAGCGGAATGAGCATCACGTTGGATCCTAGTGGCAAATTTATCTTGGGTTCAGATCCAACCAAAGCTCATCTTTCAACTACACAAACAGCTACCCAGGTAAGACCGTATACTGTACATTGAAAATGTTTATGTTGTAAATGCAGTTGATACTGATTTTAATGCTAGAATCAGCAATAACATTAGTAATAAGATGGCAGGAAAGTAAGTCCAGTGAGAATTATATAATGTATATAAATGGGTCTTCTTCAGACACAAACCATCATAAAATTAATGGATGATTATATTTATTGAACATTAACCTTTAGAGTGCATTTTTTAAATTTCTGTAATACAGTGGACCCTCAATCAACAGCATTAATCCATTCCAGAGGGCTTGCCGTTGGTTGAAATTGCCGTTGGTCGAGTTAATTTTCCCCATAAGAAATAATGGAAATAGAATTAATCCGTTCCTAACATACCCCAAAGTCTGAAAAAAAAAATTACAGAAAAGTGGTCAGAAAAGTGGCAGATGCAGTTCAATGTAGATTAATGCAAGGTTCTGAAGCTCGGGAGTGTCTATAACCCTTGCACTTATAAGTTAAATAATGTAGAACTTAGCCATACAGATTGCGAAAAGGACTTGGGGGTTATGGTGAGCACCAACGTTAAACCAAGACAGCAATGCCTAAGCGTATGTAATAAGGCAAATAGATTATTGGGATTTATATCAAGAAGTGTAAGCAACAGAAGCCCAGAGGTTATACTGCAGCTTTATACATCATTAGTAAGGCCTCACCTAGATTATGCAGCTCAGTTCTGGTCTCCATATTACAGAATGGACATAAATTTGTTAGAAAACATTCAGCGTAGAATGACTAAATTAATACATAGCATTAAAAATCTTCCTTATGAAGGAAGATTGAAGACTTAAATTACATTCACTTGTTAGACGAAGAATGAGGGGAGACATGATTGAAGTGTATAAGTGGAAGATGGGTATTAATAAAGGGAATATAAATAAGGTCTTGAGGATATCTCTCCAAGAGAGAACCCGCAGTAATGGATTTAAATTAGGCGAGTTTAGATTTAGAAAGAACATAGGAAAGTATTGGTTTGGAAATAGGGTAGTTGATGAAGTGGAACAGTCTACCTAGTTGGGTTATGGAGGCTATGACTTTGGGTAGTTTCAAATTTAGGTTGGATAAATATATGAGTATACACGATATGATATAAGTATACACGATATGATGTAGGGCGAAATGACAGTAGTTTGTTGGATTATGTATTGGTAGATAAAAGACTGTTGAGTAGACTTCAGGATGTACATGTTTATAGAGGGGCCACAGATATATCAGATCACTTTCTAGTTGTAGCTACACTGAGAGTAAAAGGTAGATGGGATACAAGGAGAATAGAAGCATCAGGGAAGAGAGAGGTAAAGGTTTATAAACTAAAAGAGGAGGCAGTTAGGGTAAGATATAAACAGCTATTGGAGGATAGATGGGCTAATGAGAGCATAGGCAATGGGGTCGGAAGAGGTATGGGGTAGGTTTAAAAATGTAGTGTTAGAGTGTTCAGCAGAAGTTTGTGGTTACAGGAAAGTGGGTGAGGAGGGAAGAGGAGCGATTGGTGGAATGATGATGTAAAGAGAGTAGTAAGGGAGAAAAAGTTAGCATATGAGAAGTTTTTACAAAGTAGAAGTGATGCAAGGAGGGAGAGTATATGGAGGAAAAAGAGAGAAGTTAAGAGGGGTGGTGAAAGCAATGTAAAAAGAGAGCAAATGAGAGAGTGGGTGAGATGTTATCAACAAATTTTGTTGAAAATAAGAAAAAGTTTTGGAGTGAGATTAACAAGTTAAGAAAGCCTAGAGAACAAATGGATTTGTCAGTTAAAAATAGGAGAGGAGAGTTATTAAATGGAGAGTTAGAGGTATTGGGAAGATGGAAGGAATATTTTGAGGAATTGTTAAATGTTGATGAAGATAGGGAAGCTGTGATTTCGTGTATGGGCAAGGAGGAATAACATCTTGTAGGAGTGAGGAAGAGTCAGTTGTGAGTGTGGGGGAAGTTCGTGAGGCAGTAGGTAAAAAGAAAGGGGGTAAGGCAGCGGGATTGATGGGATAAAGATAGAAATGTTAAAAGCAGGTGGGGATATAGTTTTGGAGTGGTTGGTGCAATTATTTAATAAATGTATGGAAGAGGGTAAGGTACCTAGGGATTGGCAGAGAGCATGCATAGTTCCTTTGTATAAAGGCAAAGGGGATAAAAGAGAGTGCAAAAATTATAGGGGGATAAGTCTGTTGAGTGTACCTGGTAAAGTGTATGGTAGAGTTATAATTGAAAGAATTAAGAGTAAGACGGAGAATAGGATAGCAGATGAAAAAGGAGGCTTTAGGAAAGGTAGGGGGTGTGTGGACCAGGTGTTTACAGTGAAACATATAAGTGAACAGTATTTAGATAAGGCTAAAGAGGTCTTTGTGGCATTTATGGATTTGGAAAAGGCGTATGACAGGGTGGATAGGGGGGCAATGTGGCAGATGTTGCAAGTGTATGGTGTAGGAGGTAGGTTACTGAAAGCAGTGAAGAGTTTTTACGAGGATAGTGAGGCTCAAGTTAGAGTATGTAGGAAAGAGGGGAATTTTTTCCCAGTAAAAGTAGGCCTTAGACAAGGATGTGTGATGTCACCGTGGTTGTTTAATATATTTATAGATGGGGTTGTAAGAGAAGTAAATGCGAGGGTCTTGGCAAGAGGCGTGGAGTTAAAAGATAAAGAATCACACACAAAGTGGGAGTTGTCACAGCTGCTCTTTGCTGATGACACTGTGCTCTTGGGAGATTCTGAAGAGAAGTTGCAGAGATTGGTGGATGAATTTGGTAGGGTGTGCAAAAAGAAGAAAATTAAAGGTGAATACAGGAAAGAGTAAGGTTATGAGGATAACAAAAAGATTAGGTGATGAAAGATTGAATATCAGATTGGAGGGAGAGAGTATGGAGGAGGTGAACGTATTCAGATATTTGGGAGTGGACGTGTCAGCGGATGGGTCTATGAAAGATGAGGTGAATCATAGAATTGATGAGGGAAAAAGAGTGAGTGGTGCACTTAGGAGTCTGTGGAGACAAAGAACTTTGTCCTTGGAGGCAAAGAGGGGAATGTATGAGAGTATAGTTTTACCAACGCTCTTATATGGGTGTGAAGCGTGGGTGATGAATGTTGCAGCGAGGAGAAGGCTGGAGGCAGTGGAGATGTCATGTCTGAGGGCAATGTGTGGTGTGAATATAATGCAGAGAATTCGTAGTTTGGAAGTTAGGAGGAGGTGCGGGATTACCAAAACTGTTGTCCAGAGGGCTGAGGAAGGGTTGTTGAGGTGGTTCGGACATGTAGAGAGAATGGAGCGAAACAGAATGACTTCAAGAGTGTATCAGTTTTGTAGTGGAAGGAAGGCGGGGGTAGGGGTCGGCATAGGAGGGTTGGAGGGAGGGGGTAAAGGAGGTTTGTGTGCGAGGGGCTTGGACTTCCAGCAGGCATGCGTGAGCGTGTTTGATAGGAGTGAATGGAGGACAAATGGTTTTTAGTACTTGAGTGCTGTTGGAGTGTGAGCAAAGGGAACATTTATGAAAGGGGTTCAGGGAAACCGGCAGGCCGGACTTGAGTCCTGGAGATGGGAAGTTTCAGTGCCTGCACTCTGAAGGAGGGGTGTTAATGTTGCAGTTTAAAAACTGTAGTGTAAAGCACCCTTCTGGCAAGACAGTGATGGAGTGAATGATGGTGAAAGTTTTTCTTTTTCGGGCCACCCTGCCTTGGTGGGAATCGGCCGGTGTGATAATAAAATAAAAATAAATATATGAGTGAGAGGGGTTGGATTTGAGTGGGACTTGCAAATGAGTGGATAGAGTTATCAGACCTTATTTCTTGGGTAGCATTGAAAATTGGGTTGGGCAAATATTTTGTTAGTGGGATGGATTGTAAAGGACCTGCCTAGTATGGGCCAACTGGCCTGCTGCAGTGATCCTCCTTTCTTATGTTCTTATGTAAATATACATTTCCTTATATGGGAAGGAATGGGACATGCAAAATAAACAATAATTAAATGCCACTTACCTTTATTGTGGAGTTGTTGATGAGTGATGTGCCAGCAGCAGGGGAAATTCAAAATTGTCTATTGCTTTGAAGGAGAATCCCCTTCCATAAAGACTTCAGGTTCCAAGTCCTTTGGTGGGGTTACCTCCCTTCTTGGTTTTTTAATGCCACTAGGACCAGCTTGATAATCACTGGACCACCCTCTACCACCATCACTACCACCCTCTACCACCATCACAACCAGTACTACCCTCTACCACCATCACAACCACTACCACCCTCTACCACCATCACAACCACTACCACTCTCTACCACCATCACTACCACCCTCTACCACCATCACTACCACCCTCTACCACCCTCTACCACCACCACTTTCGTATTTTTCTACAAACTTTTTCTTGAATTCTATCGTGTTTCTCACATCTTTTACCAAAGGGCTGGCTGTAGAAGCTTTCGTGGGACCCATGGTGGCTTATTTAGCGGTTACAAGCACTAGAAACAGTGGAATAATCCAAAATGTATGGGAGGCACACGTGGAAACTGACCGCAACAGCTTGTAAACAATGGCACACTGACGTCGTTGGTTAAGTTTTTCGCCGTTGGTTAAGGCATTTTTTCTACGGCAAAAAGCACCGTTAGACGAAATTGCCGTTACTTAATGCTGCCGTTAGTTGAGGGTCGACTGTACAATGAATAGTTAAAAGAGTGATTGAATTAGAAACAATGTGAGTGAGGTGGGAGGGAGGAAGGTGGTGAGTGTTAATGTGTGTAAAAGAGAGACTGCAAGATGTAATGAGTCAGGGTGGTAGGTGTTTGTATTTACCTCTTAAATTACATTTTAATAATTATAAAAGCTATGCTCTCAGTGTCTTATTTTCATTGTTTAGTTTGTCTTGGAATTTTTTTTATTAATGAATTTGACTGTTGGATGGCAGGTATTTGCTACAAGTATGGTAGTAAGACACTAATATATAGATGATGATATACTTCTGGTAGAGTTTTATCAAGTTGTTAGGTCCAGTCAGGAAAATGTCATCTGTAGCAAAGGCATGGTTTACACCTGTCTTGCATTTCATTGTACTGAATCTCATTTTAGATCCCATTCCAGCAGCTTTCCATTCTTATTGTGTGTAGTTGTTATATTTGCTCTTTTCCTTTTATCACCCAATGGGAACCATTGTATGACATGTTTGGAGCTTGTCTGAAATATGTGAATTTTTCTATGCAGACATCATGCTACTGGACTGAAACATGTCATAAACCATTGTTTAGCATTTCATCATTTATGTGCCTTATCAGTGTTAAATTCTATCATCTTACTCCATTTACTCAGTTTGTCCAAGTTTTCTTGTAGGAATTAACAGATATTTTTATTACTTATTTTACATAGGATGTTTGCTTTATCTGCAAACATATATAAAATTGCTTGATTATTTTTAACAATTTATTTAAATAAATTAAAAATATTTTTGGGCAAGTACCAATCCTTGTGGATCCATTGTTGTGTGTATAGCACAGATGCAGTATTGAATATATGTCTCTGTTTTTTATTTTGTATGCTCTGTATATTGCTCTTTCTTTCCTTCCCCTTCTATATTTTTAAACTTTAATTATTCTTTCTAAGCCATGTATTTCTGTTTATTTCAAGGTGGGGGGTTTGATGATTCCTTCGTGCCAATCACAGGTGCAGGTGATTGGTGGGGCAAGTGTTGGATTGACATCTTCTATATGCAATGTAGCCAGTAGTGGGAGTATGGCAAATGTGATGAGTAGTGGTATGCCTACTGTCATGGCTGGGAACACTGGTACTGGAGTGGTTGGGCCAAATGCACTTCCTACCGTGTGTTCCTTACCATCCTTCACCCAGCTCTTAACTCCCCCAACACAAGTTTCCTCCAATGTTGTGGTTCATGGTCCAAGTGTCACTACAAAAACTAAACCCATTCAGTTACAGCACACTGCTTCTAAGTTAACACAGGTAACAAGCAAGAACCAAACAGGAGCAGATATCTGTAGGGTAGCCCAAAACACTCATCTGTTGCAGGCATTGCACCTCCCTGCTTCAGAAAAACATTCTCCCTCACCCAGTGGACAGCCTTTGCTTACATCACTGTTGTCAGGGCAACATTCAATAAACGGTAATGGTGTGGAGCAGCCTGGTGTTCCAGTGCAAGTGTCTGTTGCAGATGGTGGGCCTATGCTCACTGTGGTTAGTGTGGGAAGTGTGATGAGTTTACCTGAGGGTATAGTGTCTACTGGTACAACTTTTTCCTCGCCGGCTCCACTTAGCATACTGGTGCCCAGTCAAGCTAGCCAAGTGCCTCAGAGTTCTGCTGTGATTGCGTCTTCAAGTGCTACAAACAATGTTATGTCTGGTGCTATTATTAGCCACAAACAATTTGTTTCAAACTCTGGTCTCATTCCACAAACTAGTGTAACTTGTACTAATTCAGAAAATGTGCCAGTGGTGGCACGAGGCCATTCCCAAATTGTAAATGCTTTGCATCCAGATAATGTTCCTAGTCAAACTAATAATGCAAGTTCATTTGTGACAAAAAGTATTGAAGGTAGTAAAACACCTAGCTTTCAGAATGAATATGTTGCTACTTTACAAAGAGGGCAAAATATTATAGATACTAATAAAAATAAATCAAAATCAAATAAAAAGAAAAAGAAAGATAGAGAGAGTGAATCTGTTTCAACATCCACTACAAGTCCAGTGATGGTCAAGCAGAGCTTACAAGAGCGTTTAAAGTTGAGCACATGTACCAGTACAGGTGGAACCCCACAGCAACTGTGTTTGGCACCAATTCCTAATGGGCTTAGTGGACCTGCCATTAAAACTGTCTCTCAGAGCATCGGAAGCTCGACTCCTCCTGGATCCTTGCCTCTTTCCATGGGAGAAACCAGTGTCGCAAGTGATAATACATCTCTAGCAGGGCCTAACATTTCTGCTACTCCTCCAGTATCTCTTGTACCTCCAGTAACTACTACTACTACTACTACGGCAACAGTTCAAGCACCATCAGCAACAACCACCATCACTGTCACAACCACCACCACATCTTCATCTCATGCTACTTCAGGAGTCGTATATGCTGGACCAAGACAGCAGCATAGTAAGCAAGTCAAGCACCTGATACTTTCACCGCAAAATCAGGAGGTAAGATTCATCCTTGAATTATTTATATTGCAAATACCATATTTTTTATCAGTTGCCATATTTAGTTGAAGTAAAATACAGTATATTGAGTAGAATTGTGTGATGTGGGGACACGCTTAGGTAGGTTTCTCAAATATATATTATTTGCCGCTGACATATACTAAACATCTGTTCAAGTGCAGTAGATCAAGGGAGTTTTTTTTTTGCATTATGTTAGTGTTTAGCTTTCACACCATCATTGGCAGCTCTAGCAGTGATGGACCATACCACGGGCAGGGATTGAACTCATGGCGAGTGTCATAGCAGTGACAGATTAAAGTGCTGACAAAACTACAGTAATGTAAAGTAAAAGGACACAAGTGCAACTAATGTGAGAACGAAACGTTACCACAATAAAATGTTACATTAGTTGCACTTGTATCCTTTTGCTTTACAAATTGTCGAGAATTCTATCAACATACAGTGGACCCCCGCATAACGATCACCTCCGAATGCGACCAATTATGTAAGTGTATTTATGTAAGTGCGTTTGTACGTGTATGTTTGGGGGTCTGAAATGGACTAATCTACTTCACAATATTCCTTATGGGAACAAATTCGGTCAGTACTGGCACCTGAACATACTTCTGGAGTGAAAAAATATCGTTAACCGGGGGTCCACTGTATATACAGTAATGTAAGTGAAGATTATTAAAAGAATTGTCCAGTAACATCACACTCATCTAAGTAGTAGGTTGGAAGACAGCAACCACACAGGGAGGTACTACTGTCCTGCCAAATATGTGTAAAATGGAAACCTGTAATTGTTTTACATGATGGTAGGATTGCTGGTGTCTTTTTCTGTCTCATAAACACATGGGATACCAGGTATATCTTGCTACTTCTGCTTGCACTTAGGTCATACTACACATCTATGTACATGTATGTATGTACATGCATGTATTTACATACCTATCTGGGTTTTCTTCTATTTTCTTAATAGTTCTTGTTCTTTATTTCCTCTAATCTCCATAGGGAAGTGGGACAGAATTTGTCCTCCGTATGGCATGTGTGTCATAAGAAGTGACTAAAATGCTAAGAGCAAGGGGCTAGTAACCCCTTCTCCTGTATGAATTACTAAATTTAAAAAGAAAACTTTAGTTTTTCTATTTAAAAGAAAAACTTGAGTTTTTCATTTTAGGTCACCCTGCCTTGGTGGGATACGGTTGGTGTGTTAAAAAAAAAATGCTGCACTTGCTGTTTATGTATTGACAGTAACAGCACTATATTTTGATTGGTATTGCATTTTGAGATGAATATTTCCATTGAATATTTTGTAATTTCCCTGGACAAATTTTGAAATAAAGCATTACAGTTAAGAATCAGCTGTGACATTGGATTGTGGTAATTTTTTTCACTGCGTTCTGTACTTTGTCTATTACTATGAATTTACAGCTTTTGCAAGTTTTGTGTTTTTTTTTTTATGGTGTGTGTGTTGTCCTTGTTATTAACTAATTTACTATTATAATACACTGCAACTCCTGTGTTTTTAAAGTTAGTAACCATAAAATGAAAAGCATCTTGTACCTGTTACTGGTGTCCACTTTTTTACTAAATTTTGTTTCTGCTGTTTGTGTGTTGAGAGAATATTTGTCTCTTTGTATTAAGGCTTTTTCTGTAAAAGTGATAAATTTGAGAGCAATTAGCAAGGTGTATAATTATGCTGACCATTTCTACTCTTGTTAAGTGCTAAATTGGTGTTGGCCATTTATCTGAAGAAATGGTGGAGGCTCGATCCTTTGTCTTGCTAATAATAAGACAGACATGCTACCTACAGACCTGTTGAAGAAGGGACAATATATTGGTTAAACTGACACTAAAATATATTTTTTTTATTATTTTTTTATGTTAGTACAGTGAACAGTGCAAAACATTACATATATGTATATGGGTAAGGCAACAAATGCATAAATATATGCATGAAACAATTTGCAGTGCATGATGGGAAAAGTAAACTTCTGACCTTGTTTTTTATTTAAAATAGAAATTTGGAGGTGTTTTCTAAGATAGCTTTTATGGTTTGATTAGGTATTTCTTGGTATCAATTGATAGAGTGGAAGCCATACTACTAAAACAGAAATGATTTGGGTTGATTTCAGGACTGGAAGTAGCTTGAAATTGGACTCAAAGTAGCAGAAATATTATATTTTTGGCAGTTTTCCTGATGATGAGCAAGGGCCCCTACACCCACTCCCTGTCTGTTTTGTGGGTCTACTTCAATTATTAGGATGCCTTCAATCATGACCAATCATTACTGGTTATATTTTATCCTAATGTGTGTGATGAGGAATTCAAAACGGAGGGCAAGTCTAATGTAAGAAAGACCTGGGGATGTGATTAATAAGCAGAGGAAAGGGTATTTTAGTGGTTGGAACATACACAGTCTTTATTTTGGACTATGTTCATACACTGAAATTTTTTTTAAATTTATGTAAAATTGGCCAAATTACTGATTTCTGTGCACTTTATAAGATAGTTCTTATAGTTAAATAGGCAGTTTCTTGTGCTCAGGCAATAGAATGGAAGGCATATTAACAAAATAGCCAAGAATTGGTCACATTGAGTGATGGAATCTGCTGAAAATACTGAAGCATAAATTGCGCCCAGACTGCTAAATTTGTGCCTGCCTAATTCCGTAAGCTTTCCATTAAATTTTGTATTTTTTTATGTCATTTCCTTCAGAAAAAGATTCTCTACCATTTCAGAAGAAAAAAAAAGAATTAAATTTCTGACATTGCAGTACTTTTAATTTCAGAGCTTCTAACAGTGAAGTAGTTAAATTCACATGCACTCTCTTAGTACAATACTTCTCTGGATAGAAATACTTCTGTGAGGAATTTTTTTTTTTATAAATTAGTAAATTACAAGTTAGGATGTTCCATTTAAATTGCAGGGTAAATTCTTTAGGGATGCAAAATAAAGGCAGTTTTTTATGTGGATTTAAAGATAGTATGATATTATTATTAGAGAAATTACAATCTGTACCACCTTATTGTGGTTAATTGAATATTGTTGTTTTGAGTATCCCTTACTGATAAAAGGAGATAAGGCAAGTGGCTGTGTGTATGGGAGGACATCCTGATTATCAGTGTGGAACATGGGCCAGGTGACTTGTGTGTGTGACTTGGGCATGTCAAGTTGCTCTCCTCTTTTTTGTGTGTGTATGGAGGTACAGTACTGGATCTCATTCCTGGCTTAGAATGATCAAGTCATTAAGGATATGTGGCTTCAATTTTATTTAGTGGCATCAAGTACAGAATATTGTACTTGATGCTAGAACTACTTTGTAAATCAAAGGCCAAAAGTAGTAAATTGCAATATGTAAGTGCAGCTGCAATAATAAGTGTTGCCAGATATATGAGCTGAAAATGGTCAGTGAATAATGATGAAAGAATATAAAGTCTTTGGAAGTCATGCACTTCATCTTGTTATGTTTGCTCAATAGCATGATGGTAGAAAGTTGAAAGTGAACATAGAAAAGAGTAAGGTGATGAGGGTATCAAATGATTTAGATAAAGAAAAATTGGATATCAAATTGGGGAGGAGGAGTATGGAAGAAGTGAATGTTTCCAGATATTTGGGAGTTGACGTGTCAGCGGATGGATTTATGAAGGATGAGGTTAATCATAGAATTGATGAAGGAAAAAAGGCGAGTGGTGCGTTGAGGTATATGTGGAGACAAAAAATGTTATCTATGGAGGCAAAAAAGGGAACGTATAAAAATATAGTAGTACCAACACTCTTATATGGGTGTGAAGCTTGGGTTGTAAATGCTGCAGCAAGGAGGCAGTTGGAGGCAGTGATGTCCTGTTTAAGGGCAATGTGTGGTGTAAATATTATGCAGAAAATTCGGAGTGTGGAAATTAGGAGAAGGTGTGGAGTTAATAAAAGTATTAGTCAGAGGGCTGAAGAGGGGTTGTTGAGGTGGTTTGGTCATTTAGAGAGAATGGATCAAAGTAGAATGACATGGAGAGTGTATAAATCTGTAGGGAAAGGAAGGTGGGGTAGGGGTCGTCCTCAAAAAGGTTGGATGGAGGGGGTAAAGGAGGTTTTGTGGGCGAGGGGCTTGGACTTCAAGCAAGCGTACGTGAGTGTGTTGGATAGGAGTGAATTGAGACGAATGGTATTTGGGATCTGACGAGCTGTTGGAGTGTGAGCAGGGTAATATTTAGTGAAGGGATTCAGGGAAACCGGTTATTTTTATATAGCCAGACTTGAGTCCTGGAAATGGGAAGTACAATGCCTGCACTTTAAAGGAGGGGTTTGGGATATTGACAGTTTGGAGGGATATGTTGTGTATCTTTATATGTATATGCTTCTAAACTGTTGTATTCTGAGCACCTCTGCAAAAAACAGTGATTATGTGTGAGTTAGGTGAAAGTGTTGAATGATGATGAAAGTATTTTCTTTTTGGGGATTTTCATTCCTTTTGGGTCACCCTGCCTCGGTGGGAGACGGCTGACTTGTTAAAAAAAAAAAAAGACATATATAGGTGGATGGAAGATTATATGTAATGTAATAGTTTAAATATACAGCAGTAGGATATATCAATTATTGATGGTATACAATACCAAGTTGATAAAAGACACACATGGGTATGTGTGTATGTATGTGTGTGTGGTGTGTGAGTATGAGCGTGAATGTATATATTATTTTTTTAAAATGCTCACCATCTCCCACCGAGCCAGTGACCCAAAAAAGAAGCACTTTAACTGTCATTCACACATAATCACTGCCTTTGCAGAGGTGCGCAGATATGACAGTTCACGTGTCACTCCAAACAGCAAATATTCCAGACCCCCTCCTTTAAAGTGTAGGCATTGTACTTCCCACCTCCAGGATTCTAAGTCCGGCTAACTGGTTTCCCTAAATCCCTTCACAAAATATTGCCCTGCTCACACTCCAACAGCTCATCAAATTCCAAACAATATTTGATTCCACTCCTATCTAACACACACACACACACACACACACACACACACACACACACACACACACACACACACACACACACACACACACACACACACACACACACACACACACACACACCCCACACAACACACACACACACACACACACACACACACACACACACACACACACACACACACACACACCACACACACGCACGCACGCACGCGCGCGCGCCTGCTGTATGTCCAGACCCCTTGCACACAAAACCTCTTTTATCCCCTCCCTCCATCCTTTCCTAGGATGAACCTTACCCCTCCTTCTCTCCACTACAGATTTATATACTCTCCAAGTCATCCTATTTTGCTCCATCCTCTCTAAGTGACTAAACCACCTCAAGAACCCCTCCTCAGTCTTCTGAATAATACTTTTAGTAACTCCACTCCTCCTCCTTCTCTACACACTATGAATTCCCTGCATAACATTATGCCACACATTGCCCTTAGATATGACATCTCCACATGACGTATAGAAAATGTATGTGTTGTGCCGAATAAGCCAAACCGGTGGGCCTAAATGGCAAGAGTGTTTTCTGCTGAATAAGCAGAGTGAAATTTATTTTTTCTGTAAATTTGCAAATAATCAGTCTGATCATAGCAATAAAATAACTATCATTGATTATAAGTATACTGTAATGTTAAATAAGTTTAAACTGACCTAAGATACATATAACAGAATTTGGCAAAAAAATTACAATAGGTGAAGTTTGGTTTGGTGAGGGTTCAAAGTTAGGTTTAGATCAATCTTCGGATAATGATGGGATAAATACGGGGAGGAATTGTGCATGAACCACACTGCTTATTGGTATAGTAATTAGGTAAATGTACTTGGATAGACAAATAGACAACATTTGAAATTTTTTTTTTGAGAAATGGCTTATTATTGTGATATTTTCTAGGCTCTCAAGAAAGTTCATAATCAAATCCAAGCTCTCCAAAATAAGAAAACTGACCAAGATAAATCATGTCTCCAGCAGCTTTATACAGAATACCGAAAAATAATGGCAACTGGAAAACATGTTACTGTTACCACCACACCACAGCCGCCCCAAATAGTAAGTTTATGAATGTATTACGTTATAGTCTGGTGCTACATTAAACATCATTTCCAAGGTCTTTGAGGAGGAGCAGTGTCTTGTTCTTTGGAGAAATGATAAAATTTCTTTCTACTCAGTTACATCATATGATCTGCTTATTGAAGTTTTGGTTATTTGACCAAAACCTTCAACTGCCTTACTAGTTCAACCTGTAAAAAATTAAATATCACATCGTAAGGTCTGCTTGATAATTTCTTTGGGGTTAAATTTGGCTGAAGTTACAATGAGCTATGTCATGATGTGGTTCATTTCTGGGCCAGAATACCATTGCAAACTCTTCTAATATTGTGTTGCTATTGCAATGGCTTTGCATTACATATATTTTTATCCACATAGTTATTTACTTTTATATCTCACCCTACCATTCCTGGAGAATATCCTTGGAGATCTCTGCACACACATTTCGGACATGATGAGATTTTGCTTTAATTATGCATGCTTCACTCTTCTACGTCTTCTTTCTGTCGAACTTTTTTCTTTTTTCTTTGTATAGCTTACACGAGTACCATTAAATTGTTTCATTCTTTTCAAATACTGTACATTCTTTAATCAAATTTATAGGTTCTGTTTCTGTTATTTTCACATCTACCTCTTTAATTTAATTATTTCAGTGTATATTAACATAATGCAAGCCCCTAACCATTCACCATGCCTTAAAAAACTTTTGAATTGTACTTTGAACTGTACGTCTGAATTCATCTGTGTGCATGTGTGATTCCTTATATGTGATTTTGGTAAGTTCTCACTTAGCATGACCATTTGTAAAAATAAACAAATAAAATGCTGTTTCTATTGTGTCTCCCAATATTTTGTCCGTGCAACTCAGATCAGAGATTTTTGTATTGACCACACATGGCCTGGTGCCACTTAGGCATAGGGCATTTTACATTTTGTCATGTTTAGAAAGTACCTTCTCATCATACAATCATCTGTGCCACTATTTCAGTAACTTTTCTGAATTCATGCCACTTTTTGGATACAGTGTATTTTACTTTCACACCTTTCTCATCTCTGGAGAAAAACTATAGCACCCAAGATGATCACTAGTGATGTTGGAAATTCCAAGAAGATTAAGCATTAATTTGTGATGCTGCAAAAGAATATTTTTTTTACCTATTATTTGGCAGTCTAATAAATAGGCATGTATGACTTTCAGCATATTTAGTGAATGGATCAAACACTTTTTTGTTTAGGTGAAGTCTTGAAGGTTTTTGGCTTCTATATCTGTCTTGTGAACTTGTGTGAAGCATATTAAGTTTCAATTCTATACTATTTAGTATGCACTTTACTTTTCAAAATTTTTCTTAATTCATTATTTTTTTATATTTCCTTTCCAATTACACAAAATAACCCTCTACATAGAAGAGAGGAGCTTACTATCGACGTTTTGGTCAACTTGACCGTTTACAAAGCACACTGATGTGACTTTGTAAATGGTCAGATCGGACCGAAACTTGTGCTGTAAGCTCCTCTCTTCTATGTGCAGGTTATTTGTGTATCGTTCCAGTCATGGTATTGTGCCTTTTTTTGTTATTTCCTTTCCAATTTAGGAGGCCTAATGTGAGACTGGGCCACTGGGGCAATGAACCTGGAACCGTTAGCAGATACAGTAGTGCCCCAACTTACAAGGTTTTGCATTTAAGATGTTGGCATTTTGGACCCATTTAATTTTCTCTGAATAAGTGACTTGCACATTCAACAGTGGGGCCTATTTATACTGGCAGAGGAATGTTTATGGAAAACAGTTCTTTGCTGGTGATTGGAAATAAAAATTCTACCATAGCTTTATTTACTTTTGTGTATTCTTTTTTTTGTATTACCTTGGATAACAGCCACACATTATGATTGGAAAGCACAAGACTAGTGTTAGCGATACCCAAGTGCCATGGAATAGGAAATCTATGGCCTTTGAGTTTCATTATATGCAGTTTAAAAAAATACATTGGAACTTAAAGGTTGGGTAAAAAAAAGCTTGCAGAAAAAACTAACTGAAATTAGATATGAAAATGAGGGCTTAGGAACACATTAATTCATTTTACATTATTTCTTATGGGGAAATAGGCTCTGAGTACCGAACAGTTGATTTATGATGGACTTTTAAGAATGAATTATGTAACTTGGGGCCCTATTATATGTGTTGACTGATATATGTATTTGAAGGTGTTTGTTTTCTTCATAGACATGCACTTTATATATGGTTTTATTACTTTGAAGCAGTCTTTTATGTGAAAGTTGAAATAATATGTTGCCTTGTTCACTTTGCATAAATTTGGGAATGGCTTTGAGTGTGTTGAGTTAGATGTAAGATGTCTTCTGATTTTTGCCATCACATTTCTCAGCCGCCTACACCAAGTCCCCCCACGCCTGTACGCTACTCACACCCGGTGGGACACAAAATCATCACACTAACTCAGTTTAAGCAGCAAATTAAACATTTACCTCAGGTAGGCTGTCCTCCATAATTGTATTTGCATGTACTTTATGGTCTGTTTTTTATGCTGGAAAAACATGTCTGATTATTTGATTTTAAGTATATCAGTTATAAAAGAAATGGTTGTTTGCTGATGGTATTTTACAAGGGATTTTAAATGGCAACAGACCTTTTGAGTGCACAAATTATGAAATACTAATGAAAACAGTGTAAATTTAATGGTAGTGTGTGGTTGAGCTTGTATATTGTACTTTGTTAATCTTAATACACTAATACTAGTGTGATGGTGTCTTGTGCTTTTGTATGTCACTCTATCAGTTCAGTACATTTCTTTTTGTCTGTGATAAATTGAATTACACTGAATATAATATTATTGTTTTTGCTTTGCATAGACACTTTTAGTTAAATACAGCTTATTTAACTTTTTGGGGTGGGTCCCATAGTACTACACCATGAGCTCAGCTCACTCATAAGGTTTGAGTGGGAAATTTAAGAGGAAGGGTCAATGCAGTAAGTGTGCACCATATAAAAAATATCTTGCAGCAAGCAGTGCATAATGAAAAAAAGACTGTATTTTTGGTTTAAAACAGCGACTTTGCAGTGTATGGCTTTTATGGCTGTATTCTCAGTTTCTTAGTCTCATTTAATGGAATGGAAGATATATTACAGAAGTAGAGGTGATTTTGATTGGTTTCAGGACTGAAAGTAGCTTGAAATTGAGCTCAAAATAGTGGAAATGTTTGATTTTTGTCAATATTTCAGAGTGCACAAATTATGTCACTTGTCCAATATGCGTCCAACTGGTCGGTCTGATACGTGTCCACAAATGCACTGACATTATTTGTGCAATTATTACAATAATGCAGTAGTCTGCATAACAGTAAATCTTCTATTTTTTGTGTGAATACAAATTCAAAATGAAAAGCAAGCATAATGTAGGAGAGGCCTGGAGACATAACTAATGAACAGAGGAAATGGTCTTTTAGTGCCAGGAATGTCTACATAGTTTATTCTGGACCCTATTTTGAAGGAGGGGTGTTAATGTTGCAGTTTAAAAACTGTAGTGTAAAGCACCCTCTGGCAAAACAGTGATGAGTGAATGATGGTGAAAGTTTTTCTTTTTCGGGCCACCCTGCCTTGGTGGGAATCGGCCAGTGTGATAATAAAAAAAAAATAATAATAATATTTTGAAATTGGCAATTTTTTAATTTTGTGTAAAATTGGCCAAATTACCGATTTCTTGACACTTTATTGGGTAGTTGAAATAGGTAAGTAAGTGCATGCACTCGGAATGGAAGGTGGGAAAGGTACTGTTTGTTGGGTCAATATTGTGTGCCTCTGAAAAGGCAACTAGAGAGCAAATAATAGCAAATGTGGTTTTCTTCTTTGGACATTTGTCTTGATGGGAAATTGCCAGTGAGCTAAGTAAAAAAAAATACTTATTCATATACACATAGATGACAATGAAAATTGCTAAAATTTTTAAGCTACATGTTTTAGGTTGAGAAATGAGTATATACTGTATCACAAAAGCAGGTGTATTTTATATACAGTAAAGTTCATGCTTATTTGTATTTAACATTGTGCACAGGATCAACAGAGACAAATCATGGACCAAAGTAAACAAGTACTTCAGAAATGGAAAGATTCAGGAAATGTCTCATCATCTGGCACAGTCACTACTCCAACAACCATAAATACATCAACCCCTCATCTCTCTCCCAGTCCACAGGTACAGTATCACAAATTTGTAGTTATAAATAAGTATTAATAGCAAAACTGATTTGAGGTTCAGCTTTCGTAGAAGTGACAGCATTTAAAATTTGGTGAAAAAAAATCTTAACATTGCTTATATATGTAAAAATATGTATTAAGGAAGTTAATTTTTTTTTTCCTTTTCATGTATTTTTCCATACAAGAAGTGTCTTAATCCATTTTTTGCCAAAGTTTAGCTGTTGGTGTTGCTCCTACTGTGGGCAGCTCCTCATGTGTAATACAATTTGGGTAGGCTGTATTAGGTTGCTTTAATTATGAATGTACTTAGTTAATAGTGATCAGTTTCAGGTAATGCTGAGAAATTTATTTTTGTAAGTACTTGCATGCAGTCAGTTTCTGTCTATTATCTATTAGCTTATTTCACTTCTTTGCTAATTAAATGTTGAGGAAATACTTCCTAACTCAGTCAGGTATTCTGTTTCCTTAGCTGTCCCCTGGCTATGGACTCTCCCATTTTGAAGTCTGTCTTTAAGTATTTTGTCTATACCCAGAGTATTGTGATTATGTATCATTTTCTGCAGTTTTCCAGATATAATCTTTTAGTTTGTGCTTCTGAGTTCCTGTACCAGGCATGGAGGCATTCTTCTTCTAGCTCATACAGTCTTGTAGTTCATGCCTCAGCTCCTTTATTAGTGTAAAAGTATACCTCTCAAATTTATCTAGTTTCATTTTGTAATGACCTATTTAAGTTTGCATGGGGAAGTAGCTGTATGCTCAGCTTCTTAACTTTCATCTGATAGATGTGAAATAACTTTTGTCGCATCTACTTTCAAAAGCCGGTGTGGAGCTAGCTGTCACTGTGTTATCCAAATCATTTTTCCTTCTAAAAGTGGCTGTTTTTACAGATTATTTGGGTGTATATCTTTCAGGAAAGCCTCTTTATTTAGTTTCTTCTCTGATAAAGAATCTACCCTTGTCATCCCTGGCGATGCCCTGGAGTATTATATGTATCATAATACCCTCTTGTTCTTCAATCTTCCAGAGACAGGACGCCTAGCTATCACATTTTTTTTCATACCTCGTTCCCCTTAACTCTGTAGCAATATGGAAGTTCTCAGTAGAACTTTTTTTAGTTTTACTTTGCGTTTGACAAGGTGGGGGTTCTGACATTGATGCTGCATGTTCAAGAATAAGTTGCATGAATCAGGTAAAATGTGTTTGTAATTACCTTTGTCTTGATTTCTAAATGCTGTTCTTATGTTTGCTGATGTTATTCTTTTTGTGAGTGATTCAGAAAACAGACTTGGTATTATTGCATGATTACTGGCTTTTTTTTTTATAAGCACAAAGGTAAATCATGCAAACATCTACTCTCATTCAATTAACCTTCCTTTCCTGTTGTTTCTTAATAATTTTAACTCTTAAACTATGTACAACATATTAGTACCCAGGGACCCAGCTGTCTTCAACATATTAGGATTCCTGATTTTTTTTTTCTAGATTTTAAACTGGCTGTGTGCTGCCATTTTTAGGGCTCATATCAATTGTTTGTTTCCTACTACCCCTTAATACCTGGGGAATAAGTCTAGGCCCAGACGGGTCCATGCAGGGCATCATGGAAAACACTGCCTGAGAAAAACAATGAACTATACACCAGGGCTGCCTTTACTACCATCAGTTTCCTGCCGAGAAAATAGGGTGGGAACATGACAGGAAGACACAGTATTTGTTTCAGATTCGTTAGGGTTATTGTATGTGATAGTGACAGTTCTACCTGGAGAATGTTCTGAGAGTCAACGCCCCCCTCCCTCCCACCACCACTCGTGTTTTATATCACGATAACTGAATAAATCATGTGACATATCCATATTTTGACCACTGTCACACCTTGAAAGGGCATGGAATTGGCATGAAAATGCCTTGTTTGTTCCAAATTTGTTAAAATTTCATGATACAGTAGAATTCTGCCAAAAACTGCATTGTGTAAATTTAACCTAGGATAACCCAAGAAAGTCAAAGAATATGACTTTCTGCATTTCCAAATTGGAAGGAGTATCACACCATGAAGCAATTGTAATATAAGATTTCCTTGTACATAGTGTTAGAAAACCAAAGCAATAAAAAATAAGAAAAAAATTTGGTCCAATTTGTACTGTTTTGAATGTTAAAACACCCTAAATCATTTTGATTGTCGTAAGAAACTAGAATACATCATGATAGATGTTGAAAAAATTAAAAGCAATCATAATTTGGCATCAGTAAATCGCAACAGTGTATATCACTAAGCACTTTTACACTGACGTTGCCAGTTAGTGATAATTTTTTGCCATTTTCAACAAAGTTGTAAGTTATCCGGTTTACTTTTTATTTTTGTTATATTTCTTTTACAATTTAAAAGGCTTAGTCTGAGACCAGGCCATGGGGGGCAACGATACCTGGAACCCTTAACAGATTTAGCTATTCTAGGATTTTTTTTCCTTGACTTGATTATGTGAGTTTTTTCCTTCCCCCCAGGTGAAACTGTTTCTGGTCTCCTTCCCCATCTCCTAGCTTCATTACTTTGCTTCTATTGGGGTTAATCTCCAACAACCACTTGTTCGACCAGGTCCTGCAGCCTTCTACCATCCTCCACCGTTTGCATTCTCCTCATTATTTTGGCATCATCCTCAAACAAAGATATGTAAGAAGTTACTACTGTTTGCAGGTCATTAACATACACTAGGAGCAATCTGGAGTCCGGTACTACTGATAACATACTAGGAGCAGTCTGGAGTCCGGTACTACTGATCTTTTGGGGGGACTCGATTAGTTACACTCTGCCATCCTAAAACTTCATCACATACTGATTCGTTTTTCATACCATACAATTATTGTCATTCTTGTTATCTCGGCTTTTGTAATTTGCTGTGTAGTTGTCTGTGTAGGATATTGTCAAATGCCTTCATTTAGTATAGGAATATATAGTTTATCCTTTTGTTTTCCTGCCTTTCCTCTGCTTGTATTGTGTATATAAGGTTTGTAAGTCATGAATTTTTACTCCTGAAGTATGTTTTTTTTTTTATTATTATTATTAAACACACTGGCCGATTCACACCAAGGCAGGGTGTCCCGAAAAAGAAAAACTTTCACCATCATTCACTCCATCACTGTCTTGCCAGAAGGGTGCTTTACACTATAGTTTTTAAACTCCAACATTAACACCCCTCCTTCAGAGTGCAGGCACTGTACTTCCCATCTCCAGGACTCAAGTCCGGCCTGGCGGTTTCCCTGAATCCCTTCATAAATGTTACTTTGCTCACACTCCAACAGCTCGTCAAGTATTAAAAACCATTTGTCTTCATTCACTCCTATCAAATACGCTCACGCATGCTTGCTGGAAGTCCAAGCCAGTCGCACACAAAACCTTTACCCCCTCCCTCCAACCTTTTCTAGGCCGACCCTTACCCCGCCTTCCTTCCACTACAGACTAATACACTCTTGAAGTCATTCTGTTTCGCTCCATTCTCTCTACATGTCTGAACCACCTCAACAACTCTTCCTCAGCCCTCTGCACAACAGTTTTGGCAATCCCGCACCTCCTCCTAACTTCCAAACTACGAATTCTCTGCATTATGTTCATACCACACATTGCCCTCAGTCATGACATCTCCACTGCCTCCAGCCTTCTCCTCACTGCAACATTCATCACCCATGCTTCACACTAATGTAAGAATGTTGGTAAAACTATACTCTCATACATTCCCCTCTTTGCTTCCAAGGACAAAGTTCTTTGTCTCCACAGACTCCTAAGTGCACTGCTCACCCTTTTCCCCTCATCAATTGTATGATTCACCTCATCTTTCATAGACCCATCCGCTGACACGTCCACTCCCAAATATCTGAGTACATTCACCTCCTCATACTCTCTCCCTCCAATCTGATATCCAATCTTTCATCCTTAATCTTTTTGTTATCCTCATAACCTTACTCTTTCCTGTATTCACTTTTAATTTTCTTCTTTTACATACCCTACCAAATTCATCCACCAACCTCTGCAACTTCTCTTCAGAATCTCCCAAGAGCACAGTGTCATCAGCAAAGAGCAGCTGTGACAACTCCCACTTTATGTGTGATTCTTTATCTTTTAACTCCACACCTCTTGCCAAGACCCTTCGCATTGACTTCTCTTACAACCCCCATCTACTGTATAAATATATTGAACAACCACGGTGACATCACACATCCTTGTCTAAGGCTTACTTTTACTAGGAAATAATCTCCCTCTTTCCTACATACTCTTAACTTGAGCCTCACTATCCTCGTAAAAACTCTTCACTGCTTTCAGTAACCTACCTCCTATACCATACACCTGCAACAAATACCACATTGCCCCCCTATCCACCCTGTCATATGCCTTTTCCAAATCCATAAATGCCACAAAAACCTCTTTAGCCTTATCTAAATACTGTTCACTTATATGTTTCACTGTAAACACCTGGTCCACACCCCCCCTACCTTTCCTAAAAGCCTCCTTGTTCATCTGCTATCCTATTCTCCATCTTACTCTTAATTCTTTCAATAATAACTCTACCATACACTTTACCAGTTATACTCAACAGACTTCTTTCTTTCTTTCAACACACTGGCCGTATCCCACCAAGGCGGGGTGGCCCAAAAGGAAAAACGAAAGTTTCTCCTTTTACATTTAGTAATATATACAAGAGAAGAGGTTACTAGCCCCTTGCTCCTGGCATTTTAGTTGCCTCGTACAACACGCATGGTTTACGGAGGAAGAATTCTGTTCCACTTCCCCATGGAGACGAGGAAATAAACAAGAAGAAGAACTAGAAAGAAAATAGAAGAAAACCCAGAGGGGTGTGTGTATATATATGCTTGTACATGTATGTGTAGTGTGACCTAAGTGTAAGTAGAAGTAGCAAGACGTACCTGAAATCTTGCATGTTCACGAGACAGAAAAAAAGACACCAGCAATCCTACCATCATGTAAAACAATTACAGGCTTTTGTTTTACACTCA